CAAAATCGACCGCGTTACGAAAAGTGGTTAGATTTTGACCGCTAATAGCTCTGTCAATAGCGGAGGGATTTTATTTCTTAACAAGCCAATCGATTGGAAGATGACTATTTCATCAATTTTCAATAGGTCCCTATTGAAAATTACATAAATGTCCAACTGTTGCAATGGTGATCAAAATTAACACCGATTGCCTGCAAAAAGTGGTTTCCCTAACATAGTCGCCAAATATTGATAACGAGCACGTAATCCTACGTCAAATCTACGGTCGAGTCTTGGATACAACCTCTTACTTTTTTCTACCGAGCTCGGCTGTGCAAATCTCGGCAAAAATAAGTTTCACTGAGATCTCAGCATAAGTGACATTTGATTGCTGAGTCTCGGATAATGATTAGCTGAGTCTCAGCAAACAAAGGAAAAGTTTGCTGAGATCTCAGTAAAACTTATTTTTGCCGAGATTTGCACAGCTGATCTTGGTAGAAAAAAAACTAAGTGTGCAATTTCGGGCAGGCCAAATAATTTGGTGGTGTGCTTATTTATAACTAGTTTCAATTATCACACATAAACTCAATAAATTCCTCCAACAACAAAAAAGCATGAACAATATTTAACCTAGCTTCAAGAGAAAGCTGTGTAGTTATTATTGGATAACCGGGAAAAGGTTGAATAAGCACCTTTCAAGTTCACATACAACTAAACAGCAGGATGACAGCTGATGACAGTTGATGACAGTGTAAATGGATATGCAATTAGATCTTGTTCCAACCGTCCCAACAGCCATAAGTAGCTGACTAAGTTCACCAGGAGCCTTGCTCGTTTGAAATGAGCCGAGCGTAGCATTTTTCTGAGGAGTAGAATGCCTACTGCCAAATCATTCCACTGAGAGTGAGGTAAACCATTCATGTTCATGATTTCTATAACACGCTCTTACTCACATTCTGGGTGAACTCTGAGCTTCTTGCGTCGAACAAAAAAGTAATCCGGAGTCTCGAAAAGCGCACTTCACGTCAAATCATCCTCTCGCTGAAGATCACTCTTCCTCTCTCTCTCGAAGAGTTGTTGTTTAGAGTGTTTTAAAACCTCCAGTGAGTTTGAGGAGTTTCATCAAGTTTGGTATAGACGTTGAGAGAAGGTTGCCTCATATCGTATAACTTGTGTATACAGCATGAGGCTGTATAGATGAAATGAGTAAACCGTTTACATTGTGAAAATTTGTTAGTTGGGTTTTCTTTATTTTCATCTTTGTTTGTGCTATTTTCGGTGAAATTTCAACCATTCATATAGTAACAAATTTCTAATGCAATTCAATTTTCATCAACTGGAGTGCGAATTAGATCCTTTCCAAACATGAAGCACAGTTTTTCAAAAAAAAATTATTAAAAATCAGGGTTAATTTTTCTTAGATATTCTCTTTTCTTAAACATGAACACTTAACTAAACTATTCTTGTTATTTTTTGGAGTTGGAAAATGCTTGTTAATATGGATATATTTTTGAAAATTCAAAAATAAGTCCCAAAACAAAACCGTTCAAGTTTCAAAGAAAAAAAAAACTGCTGTAGATAATCTTTAGCTATAAATGTCATCAAATGAAAAAAAAAACTCTAAAGAACCCCTCATGTTTGAAAGAAGGAGATTTTTTTTTGAAAAATCAAAGGCTAAAAATTACTCAGCTGAAAATGTTACAATTTGCGAAATCTTCCATATATTTGTACAGTCTTAATTCTTAAAACATTTTCTACGCCTATGATCTTTAAAAATTTTTCTAACGTTTACAATCTTGGATATGAAATTGGCAGTCTTCAAATTTGGAAAAAAAATTTCTTACCTTACACACTACGGAAAAGTCGTGGAACTTTCGGTTCTCTCAGACCGATACATATAAGTGGCCCTCAATTCAATCAAACGTTCGGTAAACGGCGGTAAATCAATTCAATCAAACGTTCTCTTCGTCGACTTGCTTAAGTTTCGGTTTGAGAACAATTAATTTGACATGGAATGTTTGGTTACGATCCATGATTTACGTCTCGTGTAAAAGCAGTTATTTCTAAGTGTGTGGAATAAGATTTTAAAAATTATTCAAAGACACTGAATAATGGACATTGATCCGAAAGTTTTATACTACGCTTTTAAAAGGTATTTAATAAATTCATGTATGTCCCTTCTCAGACAGAGACTTGAAACATTTTTTGAGATCCAGACTGTTGAAAATTGTTACAGTGAATATAAAAGTGTTCCATCTTTAACTTTTATAATTTAGGCCTAGTAACCTATTTGGTCTAAATGCCTTCGGCCTAATAACCCTACCCTCGACGGTTCTAGGCCATATTGGCGTTTCTAATGCCATTTTTGAAGTTTTCAGGCAGTTTTGCTGTATTTAAGTGAATAGAAAAATGAGCAAATACACAAACCCTTCTTCAAAGGATGTAATCTTTGCTATCAAATTCGTTCGAAGCATTTACCTTTGAGCGGCAGATGACGCGATTTTACCTGTCTCATAACATTCGTATGAGAAAACGGAAGAGTTGTCAGTCTTCTTGATTTGTTGTCTTCGATTTAAGCCAAGTAAAAAGTTTTATCGAGATTTTAAAGTAATCTTCAAGTCTTAACCATGATCTACAGAATCCTCATAAAACCAAAATTGTTACTTGGTATTTACCTTTTAGTGTTTTCTATGACACGTTTAACGTTTTCAGAGCTATTTTTGCGTTTCTAGACCATTTTGAAGTGTCTGAGCCCATTTTTGATGTTTCCAAGCAGGAATGAATCATCATTTTGAGACTTTATTATTACTTTTTATTCTAGAATGCTAACGTAAATTCTAGTTGTATTTTCAGTTAACCCATCGTAAAATAGATAGTTTAATGCTGTAAATCTCCCTTTAAAAATTAAAAATTTCCGAACCGCAAAGCCACAATCTGTGTTTTCACTGAGCTAAGTAACGCAAATTCATAGAATTATATTGAATAAACAAATCCAGCCACAAAAAGGTTATATAAGCTGTTGAAGAGCGCTCTCAAGTGCACTTTCAGTGAAACCACAGAGTATGGCTCTGTGGAGCGGGGTAACTGAAAATTAAATTGTTTATAACGTAAGCATTCTATATTAAAAAGTAATGGAACAGTCCCAAAAAAGCAATCCATCCCTGTTTCTACGGACCCAGGTTTTTTACGTAGGACTACGTCTGTCATTTCTATATGGGGGTACACTTTGTAAAAACCTAAAAAGGAACATGAAACAAAATTATGAAAGATTTTGAACGTTAATAACTCAGCAACCCCTGGACCAATTTCAATAATTTTATGACCAATCGATCATAATTATTTCAACACATCTGATAAATTTAAGACTCTATCATTTTTCAAAATGTCACTATTGAAAATTGCGCGAATGTGCAACTGTTGCTATGATAATTCAAATTATCACCAATTGCCTGCGGAAAGCGATTTACCTAACACAGATTTCAAAGTTGAATTCCATCCGGTCTCACCAAACGGTGTTTATTCAATCAACGCGTGGTGAGTGGTGGTGTTCTTCAGTACACAACGGAAGGCTGCATGCAAGCACGAGCTGCAGCCCAAATGAGCATCCATAGAAGGAGGAAGAAGCCGAACCGCTAATGATCGGAATCAGTAACTCTCCGTGAGTCGCTGTGGGCCATCTATGCCAAGCGCGTCATACTAAAGAGTATAAACAGAGAGAACTCCACTCAAATTCCTATTCCTACTCAAAACACAAGCTCCTGCTACAGTTGACAAATAAGATTATATAAGAGATTCGACTTCCCTGGGAATAGAGTGTGATCAACCGGTGGAAACTAACGATTTAAAATAGGCTCACTACTTGACAAGCCTATTGGTCCCAAGCTAATCGATTGACGTACCCCATTCTAGTCGAAATTCTAGTACTACACTATGTTTGTTTTGATTCGCTATGAAATTTTGACTGATAAAATGAGGGGTTCGTGGATTTTCCTATGCTTCGAGGGCTGCATCGATTAGCTTGGGACCGAAGATAGTACCAGAGCTGAGCCAAAAAGTTGAGCACGATTCTTCGGGAATTTCTGGTCTTAGAGTTACCTCTATGGTATGATTGTACTTACCACACAACTATACTAATGCAAAAATGTTGCAGACATCGAAACCTCTCAATTAATAATTGTGAGAGTGCATCTAGAACACTAAGTTGAGAGCACGCTATAAGCTAATATGCGATATGCAATAAGCTTAAAATGCGAATAAGAAAAAGCAGAAGAAGAAGAAGAAGTAAGGCCAAATACCAGTCGATCGTATATACTTAATAACAAGCACTTCTAGGTTCTAGACTAGACTCATTAAATCTTGGGCGAGCCACTCATAAACTAGGTAAATTTTCCTCGCTTTTCCTCAAAATCTGCTCGAATATGGGGAAACTCGTCGAAAAGTTTACCCAGCCTAGGAGCATACTAATACTGAGTGAAGCCTCTCTCGGTTTTCATCAAATTCCAAAAGATTTTAATGGATAAACCAGGAAAATTTTACGTCGATGATTGACCTACGTTTTTTTTGCGAATTTAAGTGAACGAAACTCCACAGATGTCGTTTTTCTTAAAATCGTAAAAGTCGCATGTTTCAATACGGCAAACACATTTTCGTATTTATCGGTATGTGGCATATTGTGAATGTCGGGGCAATTCATATTTGAACAATAAACGGAAGTCGAATGAATTTTGAATGCACTTTGTCAGTTGTCTATAGAAAGATTTTCCACAAACCAATTTGCCACTCATGGCTGGTTGATTCATAAAAGCATTTTGAAATAAATAAATCGGAAACTATGAAAAATCACATCTGTCCCACCGTAAACACAGCTCGGTGCCAGACGATTTCACCCATTGCTTTCTTTGATCTCGAAATCCCTTCTTCCCCGAAATCCGCCCCTTCCCCAGCATACATAGGAAAACAAACATCATCTAATCCACTAAACGTTTTATGGCAGCCAGCAACAGCAGGCGACGGCAACTTACCTCTCTCAAGTGGTCCAGGTCGGCCTTGTTCCCGATCAGATAGGCCGACGGTGAGTTTTGCAACTGGCGTAGCTCGGCTAGCGACCGCTGAGCGTACTCGTAGCTGGCCCGGTTCGTGATGCTGTAGACGATAAGGCATGCATCGGCCCACTGGATCTGCTCCACGGGGAAATCATTCTCGTTTTCCGCCGAGATGTCCACTATTTCCACGTCCAGCACGCCACTGTCCAGGGTCACCGTTTGTTTGTACAGTAGGTCCGTGTTCGAGCGATACTCACCGATGAACCTTCGCGTGAGATAGCGCACGGTGAGAGCTGGTCGGGTGGAGAGAAAAATAAAGAAAGCAAACAGTCGAAAAATTAGGTCCCATTTTACACGAATTGGAGGGGTAGGAATTTCTGTGAGTGGGGCCGGGGAGATGAGCATATAACATGCTTTATGACTATTATTTCTCGGAAGGACTACCCTTGTCATAGCTAATAACAATATAATACTCAAGGTTGTCCATCTGACCGAATGGCGGAAAATCCACCTTTCAAACTGTTCCGTGGAGAGGGATTTGTTCAACCTTCTACATGGGCTAAGATGCCGAGCCGGGTCCGTGTACAACTACAATTGGTGTCCCTCAAAGTCACTCGTGAACGTTTGTTATGATAGAGATCGGACAAGCTGGGAGGGGATCAACAATTTTCAATAAGTTGTTTATTTTCCCCTTCATAAGAATATGTATTATGGCGGCACAGGGTTAGGGAGCTACGTTTTGATGGTTTTTCACACAAAATGTTCCTGCATCCCCCCATCATACAATAGGGGGGGAAACTCAATCAGCAGGTTCAGTGGAGGAATGCACACGTGCCAAGTATCTGTCCGGTTGGGTGCAGACGGCACGGGATGGTGGTTTGACAAACTACGCTCTCTCTAGTTCTACTAGTCATAATATGCGGCACTGTGCTCACATTGGCTACATGGGGTCGGTCACTTTGCGAGAGCGATGAGACGTCGGTCGTAGTGTTTGGGAACATGCAGCGCACCGTGAAATATGTGGAGTGGAGTGACACTAGCAGATGGGTTCGTCTAGTGTCAATCGAGCAGGGGACGGATGTTTTTCTTCCCGTCATCGGCTTGAGTATAGCGTTCTAAGCGGGAAGAAAGAGTCTCATCTCTGAAAACTTCGGTCGATCAATGAATAGTAGGTACGTCCTGTGCATTGAGTTTATAGGGTGGAAAAGGTTAACGAGCTTTCTAAATGAGGCAGAATTGCGGCAGAAGTGGGGCAAAATGCGTTGCATAACAATGACTATGAAGGATCGTTTGCGGATGTTTTAGAACCTTGGTTGGATGACCTGGGTGGGGTTCAATTCAATTTCGGGGGATTTGCAGTAGGGGGATCGTTATTTTGATTACAATCGACTCTGTACAAAATGTGCCAGAGTATCGAAAGTACCAAATCAATCAAAATTTAATCAAAATTACTATAATTCACAAAGTTTCCCATAATTCAATCCTATTTTACCGTTGTATGGCTATTCAAACGTATTGAAGGCTCTTTTGGTGTTTCGAAACAGCTTTGAGCTGTTGCAAATTTTATCCCGATCGGTGAAAAGTGAAATTAGCTTTGGGGTTGATTGGGGTTTAAAAGGGCAATTTCTCGAATCTAAGGTACATTTGCCTTTTTTACCATTAGTAGTCTATAACATGAACTAATCGATTATGTGTTTTAATAAGCATGGTATGAGCCGAATCGCAAACAGAGCTCTCGTTGGTCTATCCAATAAAAGAGTGCAGTTTGGGTTTACTATCTGATTCCAACCCTACCAAGCACAACCCACACATTCCTTCTCTTTATTGAACCGAAGATCAAGCCCTTCCGCGTTGATGTTTGGAATGTGGTTAAATTTGACCCGAATTAATCAGCATCAGCTGTAAACCCAACTCACATTGAAGGTTAACAGTCTAACTAAATGAAAACATGCCTTATTATGCGACAAGACGAGAACGTTCGCATCTTCCCTGTTTTTATTTAGCTTAGCTGTCCCAGGATTTCTCATAAATTTTAGGGATAAGTTAGCCAACAGTAAAACGAAAATGAAATTTGTCAACCAGCCAGAAATCGGGCAATTTGCCATCGTTTTTTTTTTGTTGCGGCTATGAACTTTAACTAGCTGTGGTTTTCTCTACGATGATTGACATCTCATTCAAACAATTAATTTTAACCATTTCCATTTTTTCCCCGTTTGACCTTCACCGCTGAAACAGTTCTAAAACCACTCGATTTCTGTTTTCTTCGACTTCCGCCTCCCAAAGCTGACTTCCTGCACTTAAGTACGCTCTTTGATTGCGAAACCTAACCAGAGTATATGGATTGAATGTCACTTCCGTTTGCGAGGCGATTCAAGCGTCCATCGTTTAACGTGACTCATCTGTCAACAGCACCATTGCCGGCTTTGGAGTCCCACTCTAAAAGCAGTTCCGAAAAGTTTCCTATCCTCCAAATCCAATCTTGCGCCAAAGAAAACACAAACACTCGCTTCATCAGCTGGCGTCATCGAAACCGAAATTGACAACTTTCATAACAAAGAAATTCTGGCCCGGTGGTGCGTCCGGGTGCAGGGGCGTCAAATTATTTTGGCCATCCACCACATGGAGGATTATTTTTACCCCTCAAGCGCAGCATGCTCACACCCACAGTAGCTCTACAGCCGCTATGCAAATGAAGAGTTTGATCACGTTCAGTCAATCGGAGAAAAACGCGGACATTACCGAAGTGCCATGCAGTGAAGACGAGTAAATGCTAGGAAAGGAAAAATAGCCGCCCGTTCGTTGGCAGGAAAATTGCTCTGTGGTTTTTCACCACCCTGGCGCAATGCACCCACTCATTACTGTACCGAAGGTAGCGAAAAGTTCAAAATAAACATTTTCGCGAATGAAATTTCGAAAGCAGTGGGAAAACTGGGACCCATTTGGCACCGAACCCCATCGCGGCGGGATGCCGCGGGAACGGCCATTGTGTTTTTATTTCACGGGATGGATTTTCGGTGCAGGCATAGAGTGAGTTTAGCTCGAGCAATCTAAATAACGGCCCATCACCTGAGGTGTCGAGTGAATTGGATTGATGAATTTAAGTGGACCGAAGTGGATGCCACTTGAAGTTCTCGATTGAAATGGAAACTGAGTCAAATGAATGAAAGTTAACATGAGGAAGTTTACGCTTTCTCGACAGAGTTTATCGTCGCAAAAGCGTAAACAGAAATCACACAGTAACGCGCATCCAGATCGATGTCTTGAAACCAAATCTCGGCGCAAAATACAGACCAGTGTTTGTTCAAATACTTACTATAACAATCAGATCAAGAATTTAAAATCAAGATTGCCAGTAAACTGTTGATTTGGAACTATTTACGGATTTCGCACGCATCAGAAATGAACAGTGATGAAGGTGAGTTGCTCAGTTGCTTCGTTGAGCGTAGAACCGAGGGAAAAATCATCATCCAAATCCATCTGATTTTATTGCTGAGCAAAAACAATTCCCGTTCAGATTTGACGCCTTCATTCAGGTTTGCACTCGGCGTTGAATGTTTTTCACATTCTTTCAATTTCTCTCCTGGTTCGTTTCTTGCTATCACTTTCGAGTGTATGCGCAGAGCAGCTTGCTTGGTAGAATTTAGACGTGGTCGGCAAGCTTTCATCATCCACCATTTTAATGCTAAGGCGATTGTGCAACAAAAACAATCGCCAATATAGATGCACGTTCCCAGACCACCCGTAGTCTTTCTGTTTATACATCACAACACGCCTCTTATAGCGATCTATTATGCAGCGCACAATAAATACCACCGTGACATTTTGCAGAAAAAAAAAGTTCGCTTTTCTTACCAGGTATAATTGATCACGTAGTGAAGCTAAATGGAAAAATGTTCACTCTTCATTGATTTGCATTTCACTTATTAGGCCTGTTCCCGTACTTGCTTTTCTGAAAGATTCTGTACAGTAAACAGCAAAAAGCAATGTTCCCGTACTTGCTGTACCATATTATTTTCTTACAGCAACTTAAAGCAAAAAAGCAACTACGGGAACAGACCTATTATCTCTTTGGCTTACAGAGACACCGCAAAAGGTCAATTTTCCTTAGTGCAGCAAACAGTTTCTCGACATTTCTGAGTAGGTGTCGACATTAATATTGATTGCTGAAGTTCAATGCTGTCAAGAAGCCTCTCGGCACTATTTTCTTTTCTCCATTGCGTAAAGTTGGCTTCGAGTGAAATTGCGAATAAAAGGTCAATAGCTTCCAAGCAACAACGCTCAATGCCGTTACATAAGTTTCTTGCAACTGCAGAGCTCAGGTCAAGGGAAAAATCACTATGCTCCTTTCAAAGAAGCTGCAGACGTAATCTGGTGTCGATTGAATTAGAGTTATCCAGCTACAGTGACGTGAAGGGGCTTTCGTAAAATGATTACTTCTGCCAGGTTGCTTTGAACAAAGGATGAGGGAGAGAAAAAAAAAATCAATTAAGGACATACTGGTCTGCAAACACAAATGGCTCTTTTGCACTGCCATTTCCAATTTTCGATAACACATATCTCGGGAATTATGGGGACTTATGTGTATGAAATTACGCTCTCATTTTTTCTGCACTGGGTTCAATCCCAATCGGTGCCTCCCGGATTTTATGGCTCATAAAATCTCTGAAAATGCCTTCCTTCGGAAGTGAAGTATAGCCGTTCGTCTCCGGTCCATGAGTTGATGGGTCGATAGGTAGGGTCCAGATATGGGAGCTGCCTCCCTGGCGTCGGTAGCATTGCTACTCAGTACGGAAAACAAGATCAACGGGAAAAATATGTAATTCTTTATCAAAGGAAGCGGAACGGAGACGGAAAGTTTGTCACAAATTACATCAAGATGCCTATCCGAAGTCGATTTGGTTCTAGCTAGTTTTCAATGCGACAATTAGGCTTACTCAGATCAGGCTTTTCAGCTGCGGCGTTACGAAATAGTGAAAGTGAATTAGTGAAAGTGAATTAGTGAAAGTGAATTAGTGAAAGTGAATTAGTGAAAATGAATTAGTGAAAGTGAATTAGTGGAAGTGAATTAGTGAAAGTGAATAAGTGAAAGTGAATGAGTGAAAGTGAATGAGTGAAAGTGAATTAGTGAAAGTGAATTAGTGAAAGTGAATTAGAGAAAATGAATTAGTGAATGTGAATTAGTGAAAGTGAATTAGTGAAAGTGAATATTAGTGAAAGTGAAAATGTTTGTTTGTCACAAATTACATCAAGATGCCTATCCGAAGTCGATTTGGTTCTAACTAGTTTTCAATGA